AATGAATTACCATTCTCAGGTTAATTAGGAATAATCACATTTAATCCTAAGATTGACATCATATTACAAGAAGAATAAAATGTAATCCTGTTTGTAGGGGATGCCTGTTTAGTGAGCTTTTCCCCATGTGCTATAATATGGATAGGGGTGCCAACTCCTTTCTATGTTGGATATGCCGTTGCAACATTAGCAAAAGAATCATCAAGTGAAGTGAATCAATCAATTACATTGCATGTTAATGTACCTCATGCCTAATTATACGCTTTGCATAGAAAGCGCAATACTTTTATCCCAAAATACATACATGTATCGAAAATAATATCGGTAGTGATATTCGTTTGTCTCGCAATTTGGTCAATAAGGATTCGTGCGCCGCTGCAACATCTCGTCAGGTGATAAAAACTAGTGTAAGCAAGCGTGTTTTATACTCTACGGGAGGACCGGCGCAGCGGTCAAAAATTCGATCGATAATTGGAACAGTAACGCACAAGGCCTATTGGCTGACGCACACGGTGCTCGACCAATCAGCAGGCCGCTATGTTATATAGTTTATAGAAAGATCACGAGTAAATCAGTCTTAAAAATAAACCTTGTGTAGAGTTATTCATCAAATATGTCGTCATGCATTATCTCATGATTGTGTGCATGTTTATGCATGTATTTTTTTGCAAACCCGTATTGAAATGATGATTGTCATTATCCGTCATGCAAACATTAACCTAAATTATGCTCATTGTCCCATTTTTCATACAATACCAGAAGATAAACAATGTTTAATTCTTAACACTATAACAACGGAAACACAAAATTGTATGTTAAAGGTATTACAAAGTTTTGGGAAAATTTGAAAATTGGGTGAATAGTGATTCTTTACAATTTTGATATATTTGGATGCCCCTGTGGACATATTATAAGCACTAGAAAATTTAGCTTCTAAAACCCCTCTGCTTTTGAGAAAAATTGCAATATAAAAATGTACCGGTGCTCCCGGTAAATATTGATAAATTTCAAATAGCGCCTACGGCCGTACAATGGTAGCTGCGACCATGACAATTTCAGAATATATAGTTGTGATATATAATTTCCAGACGGGAATATCTAATCGGTCGATTTTAGTCAGGATAGATTGTTTTATAGCTTAATTGATTTTTTTTACGTTGAGAGGGAGCTAAAAACATTAAGAGTTTATTATTTACAATTTCATAACTAGACTTGATTTCAACAGCGACAACGATCACTTAATATTGAAGAATCGCAAATGCTTCCAATATGTTCATTTCAACCAAATTTATGACCCCATACCAAAACTTTGTAATACCTTTAACAATAAAGAAGAATTAAATAATTCTTCCCTTTATTCGGATAATTTATTATATCGTCCCTATAAATATTCTTATATTCTCTTCTTCCTGTCCTTAATGCTTAATTCTGTCAAAGTATACATTTTATTATGAATATATTCAATCTACAAGTATGATTTGCAAATAGTTTTTATAACGTCCAGGGTAAACTTTCTTGGGATGTGATTATAATAAATACAGGAAGTGTATTGGCCTACGAAATTTATAATAAATATTATAAAACTACAAGAGAATACATCATCTGCTTTGAAAATTCATCCGTCAAGATACTCAGATATGATTTAATCACTTACAATTGTTATAATATTCTGCCTAAATTCGTTGGCTGTGTGAGTTATTAATTTTAGTAATTCCAGGGCCTCGTTTTATAAACGGTTGCGATTAATCGCAGCATTGTGCATAAGAGATAAGGGACTGCAAACTTGCGATTGATTGAAGGACTTGCGATTGATTTGGAACCATCGCAACTCTTTAAGAGACGGGGCCCAGAGCTCAACGCTACCTTTAAATCGTGGTATCCACTAATAATAGCTTTTGGGTACCAGTATATTGACACTAGATATGAGTCAGCATGTGGTGAGAGAATGGTGAATTAACACAGATATTAGGACTAAACATAGAGCCGATCGAGGAAGAAAGGCATTTAGTAACTTATATCTCTGTTCGTTTAAATGAATTGTCATGCTCAAGAAAACGACGTGTGTGTTTGAACTCATGATAATGTAGGGGGAAATTGAGCTTGGTATTTACGTACAAATATCAATAGTCGATTCTCTTTATTGTTTTGTTTTGTTTGTTTGTTTATTTGTTGTTATTATTGATTGTTATTTTATCTTATTATCATTGTTATGATCATTATCCATCTATTTTTTAGGGGAGGGGGAGGGAGGGGGTTAGTGTCCCAATTTGAACTCTATCTGGCAATGACTGTGACGTAGTGTTTGTGGACACGTTTCAAATTTTAGCCCACAATGGCATTTTAAATTCTGATAACTTGTTTGTGTTGACTTACTTTTCAGTAGATGACAACCTTACAATGTAATTCTTGTTTTGGAGGGGGGGGGGGGGGTCCCGGGTCTTATCAAATCTTCTCTTTGGAATTTCGCCCCTCCCCCTCCATCATTTCAAAATCCTAGATCTGCCCTTGTGCCCCTGAGTAAAATGAAGTTTTTCCTGATCACACCGACTAAATAAATCTACGCAATGGGAGTGAGATGATTGAGATACACCACAGTAAAAAAAAGAAAAAAGAAAAAGAAAAGGAAAACCCATGCAGCTAGTGCTCTCACGAGTAAACCATGAGGGGATATTCGCGTGATTATGTCGTTATCACTTTGTTTACATGATCTACGTGTTTCGTTACCGGTGGGCTTATGGAGAATGCCATACGCAATTATCTTGTCAATATTGTGCGTTTACAAACAGCGACCCGACGGCATTTTCCGTACTCAATTAAAGACTTCCAGCCAATCGAATTAGATAGGCCTATATCTATGTCATTCATGCCTACAGCAAAGAACTATTTTATATTTCTTTTGATAATTTCTTTCAGAACATTCTTGATAATGGTATGCTACTGATAATATTAATGATGATGATGATGGTGATGATGATGATGATTATGATAATAATGATAATAATAATGATGATATAGATATTATTAAAAATGAAAACAATAATAATGATAATGATAATAATGATGATAATGATGATAATTATAATGTAAATAATAACACAAAAACAACCATGTGTTTAATAATAATTTTTTTTTGTTTAAAGTTTTTTTATTCGGTTAAAACATCTCATATATAATAGAATATTGAATAATAATATTTCGGATAGACGGGGGGGGGGATATTTCCCATTAAACATTGCATGATTGTTAAGATTGTTGACAGAAAATGGTAAAAGTGTATACACTTCAATTTCATTTGTTTTTTACTATACCATCTAGGGTCAACAAATGACCAGACGTCTGAGAACACAATTAGTTTATTGATGATACCTAATTAATTAGGAAAAGGTTGATTATACCTTGTTTTAAAGTCGAGGGTGAGAATGGGTGCGTGGGAAACGTAAAGTGAAGAAGAAGAGAGGGGTAAGAAATCAATATAGGTGAAATAGGAAAGGGTGAGAGAAAGAGAGAAGGGGAGGTGGAATGGAAAGGGTGAGAGAAAGAGAGAAGGGGAGGTGGAATGGAAAGGGTGAGAGAAAGAGAGAAGGGGAGGTGGAATGGAAAGGGTGAGAGAAAGAGAGAAGGGGAGGTGGAATGGAAAGGGAAGTAGAAGATAGGGAATAGGTAGTTATTGAGTAAGTGTGAGAATAGGAGGGAGGGAGGGGGAGGGATAGAGGGGATGGCTAAATGCGGGAGGGAGAGAAAGAGTGTGAGAGAGAGAGAGAGTAGATGTGGAGCAATTGTCTCCGTCTTGAAGTAAAATGAAATGAAATGAGGGGAAGGGAGAGGCGGACCATACAGAACGAGAAAGAGAGCGAGAGGGAGGGAAAGAAACAGGAACGAAGAAAGAGAAAATCGCGCATGCAGGGTATAAAGAAAAAAAATTCTCTACCCCCCCCCCTTCTTTATTTCCTCCCCTTCCCCTCCACCGAGATTTTTTCCGCAGTTTACCCCACGTCTACAGACAGAATAAAGATCATAGGTGCTGCAGCATAATCCATCAAGCAATAATACTTTGGATTCATTTCACAATCATTCTAAAAGTATCTTGCAATCTTTAGTCAATGTAATACTTTGTATTGCCTGATAGCTTTATCCAATTAAAGCTAGGCTTAAGAAACCTGTCATCCCAATAAGTTTAATTGCTCCACGCCCCACTATTTGAAAGATATTTTCTATTCTACATTTTGTCTGTAAGATTATCCCTACTAATCCTCCACGTATGAATATTACAGATATCGGTTAATCTTTTATTTTCTTCCACTGTTTTGTTGTATTCATTTTATTTTCTAAATAATTTTATATTTGATTACTACGAAATTTTGTCCTTTCTCCGACTCTCTCTCTCTCTCTCTATCTCTCTCTCTCTCTCTCTCTCTCTCTTTCTGTCTGTCTCTCTCTCCCACTCTATCTGTCTTTCGTACTCCCCCTCTCTCTCTCTTTATCTTTCTGTCTCTCTCCCTCACTCTCGCCCTCCTTCTCCCTTTCGCTCTTTGTCTTTCTTCCTCACTCCCCCTTTCTCCCTCCCTTCTCTCTCTCTCTCTCTCTCTCTCGATCTCTCCTCCTCTTACATATCTTTCTCTGTCTACCTATTTATCCCTCTCTCTGGATATCTCCCTCTTACTAAATGTTTGTTTATGTCCTGTCTTCTTCTTTTTTGCGTCGGTACCTCTACGCTATCTTTGCTTCTATCTTTTTGCAGAAGAAAAGAATTGATAATAATATTAAAATAAAGATGTTCTAATCATTGGTAGATTGGGTTGATAAAACAAACTTTCTTTATTTCAAGTGCCCTTCGAGTTGTACTCCATGTTTGTCTAATAAATCGGTTGGTTCATAAACTCGGCTAGGTAATTTAGAATATCCCCTTTCGCTGAGTCATGGGTTCAAGTACGCACCAAGATCAGTCACCAAAGATAGCTCGAATTCGGTTGATTTAATCAAAGAGAATATAAACTTTAATTTCGCAAGTAACATGCTTTTCGTCTAAGATGGTGCTAAGGATTTCGTTCACAACAATTATAACTTGTGTATGTGTGATCGAAGTTTTATAGGAACAGAAACGGTTATGGGGAGTGTGGTGAAATTCAACATTTTTGTAGTATCAGTACTTGCTTGTCTCAGTAAAGCAGCGGCGCAATGGGGTGGACCCGGTGGACGAGGCACGGGGCCGTACTGGCGGGGTGCAACCACTGGTGTTGGTCCCAGGCCACCGCCGAGACGAACGGATCTGTGTTGCAAGCAAAGCGTCAGCTACGGAGGCAGTTCAGGTAATTAAGCAGTTTCATTGCTTCAATTAATGTCTTCTTTTTTCGTTGATTACGTTTATACGCAATATCTTATTGGACAAAACACGTTTGGAGAGTTTGGTTTGTGTTTAAATACTAATATCGATCTGTTCGAAATTGGTATTTAAACGTTGACCCTTCTTGGATTTTACTGGAGTTAATTTATTGTGTATAGTAATACATTTGTCAAGTCCATCGCAAATCGTTATATCATAATAAAATTAATTAAGAATAGTAATACTTGATCTATTTCCGTGTACCTAAACACTTAATAAGTCAATTATGTCGATTAGTCGATTTTTGTAAGCCTTGTATCACAATCAATCAGTCACAATTAATATCAAAAGTCATACTTATCATTTCTTTCCGTGTCAAAATCCACCTAGCCTTTTTTTACATACAAAAGTTCTAACATTAATAAGATCTCATGCAGCTATATATTTCATCTTATCCTCGTCAATCCTAAATGAGATCCGAGATGAAACTCACGTGACTTCTACTGTAATTTGTGATGTAGTTCCCATGGCAACAGGTATTTTTGCTCATGGTCCATATTACCAGGGCCCCGTCTCATAAAGAGTTGCGATTGATCCGAATCTACAGCAAGTCATGTAATCAATTACACATTAGCAGTCTCCTAATTATTTCTCTGTAGGGCCATGCATTATGGTTCAAGGCATGCCCACACAGAGGATTTCTTAATGTTAGGGGTCGGGGCAAAATGCAATGAATTATTGATATTTTACTGCTTCTTCTTCTTATTTTGTATTGGGGGGGGGGCGGCGACGTACCCTAGCCCCCGCTGCGTACAGTTATGATTCAGTGGCTAAGCAATGGCCTCGTTACTGGGAGCCCCCAGGATCAAAACCGTGTCGATCAGCTATACAAGTGCCCTTAATTTATGAGGCATTAATCCTCATTACTGACAGTTATGACTTGAGGACGTAGGTCCCCTAGGTGATTAGCATACACGCGCTTTAGCAGTCACGCAAAATGAACACTCACAAATTATTATTCAATAAAATCTGAAAATGTATACTAATATCTAAATCTATTAGGAATGAATCATCGTCAAAAATCATTCCATAAATTGGGGTAAAAATAATTATTCCACCATTATGACCAACAGTGTATATAGTTGCGACTGATATCAATCGCAAATAAAGTTGCGATTAAACGCAACTGTTTTTAAGACGGGGCCCTGCAGAGTTGAAGTTCACCCAAAGAAAGAATAGTTGGAGAGGGAACATTTCCTTTTCTTTTTTTTTCCTGATCGACGATGAACCTATAAGTTAATGAGAGGAGGCAGGCGTAGTTGTGCGGGGTGGCACGGGGGCACATACCCCCCTTCTATTGCATAGCTCGTAAAGGAGACAGGGAGAAAGGATACGGAAAAGGGAGAGGGGAAGGACGTGAAAAAATACAGACCCCTTCCCACATCTTCTCCCATCTTTCTCCTATATAACTACCAGCCTTGCAGATTTTTATCATGCTCATTTTAAGGTCGTTGTCCCCATTAAACCAGCACCCCCCTTTATGCCTTAACCCACGCTATACACCAATGATAGGTGTTTAAGAGGTGAAGTTCACTCAAACATCATGGGGGAAAGAGAAATGAAAACACCTGTGAATCCATCTCTGTCGTGATAGTTGGGAGGGGGACATGTTTTCACCACTCTCTCAGGATATCAGACAAACCACAGGTTTCCTGTCATTTCAATTATCTTCGTCACCCTTGGCAACCCATGATGAGACAGTGTGAAAGATGAAATTAGAGTTTTCAATAAGTCACTCCCAGAAGGACCTATGCGCGGTATTTCTAAATGCCCGCGTTTCGAACATATTGAAAACACGGATTCTGGACTTTATGGAATTTCATTAAAAATTGAAATTTCAGAGATAGATATTATGAACTTACAATGAAATCATCCATCTCTCCAGTGCGAAAATATAATCTGCATTATTACAAAGATGCCTAAAAGTATCAGAACGTATTTATGTCTCTGGTCACTGGATTCATTGTTTACACACGCCTTGTGCACCATCTCCAGTGCCCCTCTCTAGCTAGCGACGTTAGTGGTTGTACACACAGAGAAATGAAAGGTGTTCTTGGGGAGTAAAACGAAATTGGAAAAATAGGGCGCCGCTTTTACACCTTTTAGGGAGTAAAACACGGAAATACGCAAAGGTGTATATTTGAGGAATGATATTTTACACCCTATGTTAGTCAGACGAGCTCTGATTAGTCAGTGCATATGCGCATGCGCTACAGCAATGGCGCATCGTGTCAATATAGGGACTGCCAAATGATTTTTTTTTTAAAGCATAATTCACATATTTTAGTCATGTTAGGGGAATTATCATGGTTCATTTGGGCATATTATTTGTGTGAAAGTTATCCAATCAAGAATAAGGGGTTGTACCGAGGGTTGTATTTCATAATTTAATGAAATTATCAGAAGTTTTGTTTTATTAACTAGTACATAATTGTCTTCTTATACGTGTAAGTAAAGGGAAGAAATTTGGTTAGGCTGGATTGTGTGTTTAAGTAATTCCATTACATTTGAACCGATAACTCCAGCCATAAGTTAGTTCTTACAGTCTGCACTTATGTTGAGTTCACACTAATTGTTGTTTAGCTGAGCATTAAAGCCTTTCAACATATAACTCGACATTCTGGTCTGATTTCTTTAGAGCAGTGGAACGTAGACAAAAGGGTGAGAATCAGTGACTGTTAGGTGATTACGAAGCATGGACGATTGATTGCTCGAGGGATGACCAATAGACCAGTTCACGGTTAGCACATTACTGCAATGACCCCGAATATCCACAGATCTTCAAAACATGAAGAGGTCCCACTTTGTACATTGTGAAATAATCACTCCTACAGCGATGGAGGTGCTACATAAATAGCCTTTGTTTCCCCTTTTCAAAGAATATTTCGACCTATATATCATGGAGTGCACTGAATGTGCATGAATGAATAATGATTACATAACTTTCATGACCACGTATCCAGTATTTCGTCTCCGTGTATTTCAAAATTTGTTCTGCAATGACCTTTATCTGCTCATGCTCAGACGGCAATCGTGAACTGGCTTATTGGTTGATGTTGTGCATAAAAAGGGTGTAGATTTACTCCCCACAGGGTGTGGAATCGATCATAAAGGGTATAAATTTCAACCCCACGGGTGTAAATTTGAACCCATTTTTCATGAAAATGGAACCAAAAGGTGTTAAATGAGCACCATTGGATGCAAATTTCACCTTCTTATAAAAAAAAAAGTAATTTACTCTCTACATTGGGGAGTAAATTTACTCCCTGAGGGGTGTCACTTATGCGACAAGCAGTTACTCCTAAAGGGGGGGGGGGTGGTATAATGACAGAAGTCAGTGGCGTATCCCTAAAATTCAGTTTGAAAAGAGGAGGGGCATATTCCGTCTCTGACCTACGCATGCATACTAGACGCGATATATAATCAGTTAGTTAAAGGTTTAGGGAGGGGCGGGAGATAGAGAGGGGATAGAGAGTGAAAAAGAGAGCGAAAAAGGGGAGAGGGGGAGATAAGGAGGGGAGGCAGAAAGAGAGAAGGGAGGAGAAGGGGACGTGAAAGATAAATAGGGAGGGAGAGAAAGAGGGAGAGAGAAAGATAGAAAGAGGGAGAGGGTGAATAGAGAGAGAGAGAGAGAGAGAGAAAGAGAGAGAGAGAGAGAGAGAGAGAGAGAAAAAGAGGAGAGACAGAGTGTGAGGAGAAAGAGAGAGAGAGCGAGAGAGGGGATCAGGGATGAATACAGTAAGCAGAAAAGCTATTGGAAGAGAAAAACAAAGGATAATAAAACAATGTATTTTCATTAGATCACATTTCGTCGCTGTTTTCACGAAGTGACGATAGTGAAAAAAAATTGCATTCACTTTGCGTTACGATTTTCCTCACTACCGTCACTTCGTGAAAACAAGGACGATTTATACAAAATTATTGAACCTTAGTAAATTTAACCTCGCCCTATTAACAAAGTAATTTTGTTCCTTTCATTTTCTTACTAATTGCAGTTCCGGTGCCATTGGCCAAGAACTGTAAAGACATCTTAGATTTCGGTGGAGGTCGAGACGGTGTATATACCATCTATGTATCTGACCTGGAGAGCTGTAGCAAGAGAGAGGTTTACTGTGATCAACAGAGGGACGGCGGAGGATGGACGGTAAGGATTACGTATTGTATAGCAAGGGCGTATCCAGAGTGGTTGGAAGAAGAGGGGCGAGGGTTCCCCTAGAAAACATGAATTCGGGAATCCTGCCAGCCCTCTCCCGTATCCTAAAGTCACTTAGTTTTTTTAATCTCTGCATTTGTTCATTCTTCATATTTTTTATATATTTATTATTTTATTAATTTATTTATTTATTTAGTTATTTATTTACCAATATATTAATTATTAGTATTTTTGGAGGGGGGGGGGGGGGGGGTAGGGGAAAATAAATTTCCGCGGGGTGAAATAATTTTTCAGGGGACATGATATTGCTACTCCTCTTTTTCTCTTCCCATTCTCCTACCCTTTACCGAGGGGGAGTGGGGCGTGGTGACCACAAGGGCTCATCTATGGAATATTAAAAATAACACTATGAATTCTTGGTAAGGAGTAACTAGTGTATTATTGTGAAAAATTACATACTCTTTCAGTTCAAACTGTAAGTCGGTCGTACAAGTCACAGAAAGTTGGCCGTTTTAGCATTTTAGTGGCATGCTTCGTCTTCCACCGATCTCTTTGGGTTTTGTGACAAGTTTGTTTTGTTTGTTTGATTGATTTTATTTCTGTTTTCAAAAGATACAAATTCAAATTCAAAGTACACAAATTCGAACAATAACAAATACAATGAATAAAATGTTGTCTGGAAAATTATTCCAAATGTCCGGGCCGGAATGTCTAACAAGATTTGTGTGTTATTGGTTATTGATAATTTGGGATATGTAAGATGGAAGTTTCCAGATATGCGAGTAGGAAATGAATGAATAGAACTATTAAACCTAAATCAAAGGATGGTGGAAGTTGATTATTAATGTACTTAAACATAATAACTGCTACTTGAGTAGTGTACAGATCAAAAATTGTTAGTGTTTTAAGTTTATAGAATAAAGGATCAGTGTGAGCTAAGAAATGCGAACCTGTACAAATACTTATGGCTTTCTTTTGCAGTTTAAAAGTAGAATTAATTTGTGTCGAACCACAATGTGCCCATACACTATTACAATATGTTATATACGGGAGAACTAGCGAATTATATAGTAGGAATACAGGGTGTAGAAGAAACTTTAGCTTGGAGATTATTCCAATACTTTTGGAAATGCACATTGTAACGTGGTGTAAATGATCATTCGAAGTTAAAGTTTCATCTATATAAAACTCCCCAAAACTTAAACTTAGTTTTCTTCTCTAGTAGCATATCATCGATTTTAATATATATCGGTGTTTCTGTATTATATGAGAATGATGTTTGAAATATTTGTCAATCACTTGATTAATTACTTTGTGATCAATGAAATTATTTGTAAATTGATGTTTAATTAATTAAATTCAATTAATTCATCATTCAATCAAGCATATCGAATCTATTTCTATATTATGGTACTGCAGGTAATCCAACGGCGTTTCAACGGCAACCTCAACTTCTACCGCGGTTGGCAGGAGTACGCGAAAGGCTTCGGGTTTCTGGACGGGGAGTTCTGGCTGGGGTTGGAATGGATACACCTCCTCACACACCAGGGACCAACCGAGGTTCGAATCGACCTACAGGACTTTCAATACGAAGAGGCACACACGGTTTACCGCTTTATATCAGTGTCCGACGCGGCTAAAAATTACACGCTGACCGTACGGCGTTACGACACGTCGTCAACCGCAGGTAAACCCGGTCAATTGGTATTAGGGTAGGTGCAGGGAATTGGAGACCCTTAAGCACATTTACATAATTTACATAAACATGAAAAATGTTACACATACAGAAAGTTTTGTATTCTCTTCAGTAACTTCTTCTCTTTATTTGGTAACAAAATTGTGGGCATGATGTTACTGATTAATAAGATAACAATTATTAATGACGTCTGCACCAAAGGTCGCTCATTACCTGCCTGTGCAGGTAATAAGAGGCAATTACAAATCAAGACATTTTAAATACAATTTGAATGAAAATGGGATTGTTATGGTTAGTTCAAACACTTTTTGAAAGAGATATATGCAGCCAATGAACTTACTGGTCGATCATTATATACCAATAAAATGTATAATAATAATAATAATAATTATAAATTTTGGACCTGGTGTCCCCCATTGCCTGCACACATTTCTGATCAGACACCATTCACAATGTGCTGTGCAACACCCATTCACAACATACAATGGCCGTAAGTTTTTTGTGATGGTTGGCACACTTCATAAACTTCATTGTAAAACTACTTTTTAAGAGCCACCCCTAAATATCTGCATACACCACAAAATTCAGTGAAAATTGTGTTTTTATATCAGAGCAAAATTTTACGATAAAAATTGGTTACCTTGGTCAATTTTGCCAATTTTCTCGGAGAAAGAGCACATTGTAGTCTTCGAAGTGAATTGCATATATGCAGTAGTGTTGTTAAAGGGCACAAATGGCGCTATAGCAATATTGGAGCCAACACGGAAAGACAGTGATGGTTTCAAGCTCGATGGTCTCCAATTCCCTGTGGTCTCCAATTCCCTGCACCTACCCTATGTGAAAGGGTATTGTTTGGACGAACGATTACTAAATCCTTTCTTATTGTTTTGTAAAAGAAATTGAATGCTAGATTGCCAAAGGTAAAATGATTTGCCAATGTTATTCATAGTACTTACCAAATGATGAGACACCATGCATGTATAAATATCTAGGGATATAAAAGTATATGATTTCACTTTCATCAGGGGTTCGAAATTTGAGATTTCACAAATTCCCCGGCCCCCCTCCGGGAACGGAGGGACCGCAAGCGTGTTCCCAGAATCTCCGGCTCGTAACAAAGAAAAAGATCTGCCCGTATTGACTTTACGCACCGGACTTTTGCTGAAAGGTGGGGGTGCTGAAAAGGCTCGTATGACAAAGAAAAAAGATCTACCCGTATTGTCTTGACATACCGGACTTAGGCAGAAAGGAGGGGGGGGGGTGCTGGGAACACGCATATACGTACCTTAAATAACACTGAGTTGGGGGGGGGGGGCGGGACAAATTCATTCACATAATCGTCATCACATTAATGTTCACGGTTAGCACATGTCCCAAATGACCTTGACTATCAACAGATCTTCAAAACATGAAGAGGTCCCACTTTGTACATTATGAAATAATCACTCCTACAGCGATGGAGGTTCGACATAAATAGCCTTTGTCTCCCCTTTTCAAAGAATACTTCCACCTGTGTAGCATGGAGTGCACTGCTTGTGTATGAATGAATAATGAGTACATAACTATCATTAGCGCGTATCCAGTATTTTGACTCCGTGTGTTACACTATTTTGTCCGCAATTACCTTCATCTGCTCATGCTCAGACTGCAACCGTGAACTGGCTAATTGAGCTCAGCTTTCACACGTACGATCGAAACCATGATCTTTCTACCTGAGAATCGAGAGCCTTCACCAATACATCACAGTGCTCTCCTTCTTGCAATCACTGCCATCATGATCTTGCCGCTACGACCTCAGTTAATTATTTTCCACTCCCGTTTCACATTTTACTTCTCAGGCGACGCTCTCAGTCCTCACAACGGCGCCCAGTTCTCGACCTTCGACGCCGACAACGACCGATGGAGCGGTAACTGCGCGTCCGAGTACTCCGGTGCCTGGTGGTACACGAGCTGCCACACCGCTAACCTCAACGGTGTCTACCTGGGAGGACCGACGAGCGACTATGCCAAGGGCGTGGTCTGGAACTCCTGGAAGGGGTATAGCTACTCCCTCAAGTTTGTCGAGATCAAGATAAGACCGCTGCCACCTCCGTTTTGATGTTGTAATAGAAATCAGTGAGATGGACGCTTTAGGGGGATAATATGTCCCCCGTTAAGGAGACAAGTTACGCATCAGTGTACACACGTAAACTTTGAACTACGCTGGTCGGTGTGGAGATGCATCTATGAGAATAACTTTTGTGACTATTTTGTGTAAAAGAATCGTATAAAATATGGAATGTAACAGCCCCACCGCACTATTTTGTCCAGGAGGGAGTAGACCTCCCTGCATGGTCACTGACAGGTGGTTATCTCATCAAATAAGCTCTCAATTAACATAAGAAAAAAAGAGGATCATGGGGGACCAATGGTCAACGATTAGGCATTGTTTACTATATAGAGGGCGCCAGTAGCTATACGTAGTGCAGTGGGGCTCTAAACTGGAAATAATGTGCGACAAACAGAAATATATCCGTATTCCACGAATTCATTTCTACCCGACCCTGTGTCTAAAATGACGTTCAACAAAAGAAAAACTTAGATCTCAGGCAAACTTCCTTTCATCCGATTGTGTAAAAAAGTGGAAACCCTGCTTCGGGTTTATAGTTTAACAGAATATACGGGCCATTTTTGTGTTTTGCCTTTTTTTCCCGATTTTTTTTTTTAAATGACTGTTCAGGCAGGGAATAGTCCAGAATCTGCCCGGTCCTTTATATTCCCTACACACACTTGATTCAAGCTGTCGAATGTGGCGTTATCAACAAACTCATAATTATGCTCACCAGCTCAGCCTGAGGCGCGGGCGGGCGTCCTAATTTAATGATCACGCCACCATCGACTGGTAGCAAGTAAGTAGGGAGAGGAAGCGTTGGTGTGGTGGAGATCAAAATTAAATAGGCCAGATTCTGGACTAGGCAGGGAACTGCTATCAGAAATTCCCTGGTTTAGAATAGATTTGTTTGGCAGAGGAATTACTGTGAGAGTGAAAGAAAAATAATGTGACTGAAAATGTTGCGAGTTTGAGGTTTTCAACTTGGCAACAAGGATCTGCTAGACTTCCGTCAGTATGGTCTGGATGGCGGGAAGAATGGTTCACCTTTCCTCTGTAGAATTATCTTCCTTTTTCTTTGAGATGAATGTAATGGAGGGGTTGTTTTTCGGTCGCAAGATAACATGGACGTATTTTTGGATATAGCGGCTAAATATAAGGATTTATTGGCAGGATACCAGCAGGTAGAAAGTTTTAAGGCTTAACAGACAACCAAAAATATGATGATGAATATAATGAGTATTCAACAGAGAGAGTAAAACTTTTATGTGAAGAAACGTACATGATGTGCTTCTCAAGCACGGTTCTCTGAGGATGTGTCTGTGTGGGATGGGGGTGCTTAACAACCCTCCCCCATTTTTCTAGCAATTGGTGTTCTTTAAAAAGAAAAAGTGTATAATCAATCAGTTTATAGTGACACATAGAAATGAGATTAGATGTAATCCATATAAGCCTCCCCACACAAAAAGAAGAAATAGAGAGTCAACTCGATTTTGAATTTGTATCATAATTTTTGTAATTTTGCATCTGAACAACACACGGTATCATCATAACTCTGCAGCGATTGAACGAAAATATCGATTCGTGCTTGTTGCTTTAAAAACAGAAAGGAAGAAGATAATAATAACGCAAAATACTTTAATGGGAGAAGTAGAAGTTGACAAATTGAACTGTTTGTCAAGTGGTAAAGTCTAGATTGCCTAGTGGCCAAAGGAATAGATTGTCGATATCAAGTTATAGATTTCTATCCATGGGTTTAAAATTTGTAAATAGCAAATAAAAGATTTTTTCAAAATTGTATAATAAAAACCCAGAATCAGTTGATTTAAAGTCGTCTTGTAGCCTCCCTCACTTGAGCAGAATATGTTTAGTTTCCTTCTGTCTTCATAATGTCCCATATATTACAACAGTGTGTGAGAAGTTTTGTGAAATCGTGATTTATGGTTGAATGCGTAATTTACTTATTGGTATGATGATGAATGTTTGACTTTGCTATTTTACTTTATTACATTTTTTCATACACCGAAAAACATAAACATGGTAGTTAAGATTAAAGGGAAACTTTAAAGTCAATGCGATTTATATAAATCTACCCCCCCCCCCCCCAAAAAAAAAAAAAAAAAAAAAAAAAAAATAATAATAATAATAATAATAATAATAGTAATACAAAAAAAAATGGGTTAAAATAATCTCAATCTTGACCGCTTCCAACGTTGCATAGCGCCACCTATTACTTGGCAAGAACGCAATTGCCTTTATCTCATTCCTCTTCACACAATGTCTTGTTAGGCCAAATTATTAAAAAAAAACATGTTTAGCGTCCTGTTTTTTTGAAAAATGGGAAGGAGGAGACATGAATATTTGTTTTAATGGCCTTAGTATATTTTGTTTAAACACCCTTTTTCTTCTAATTTGTTGTAACTTTATAACTGTGTACCTCTTTGTATCATTGCCTTTCCTTTTCATCATTTCCGTATCATCTTTCACTTATTCGTCTTTTCGGTCACTCCAAAAACCTTATAATAGTAGGACTGGCTCGAAAGTTTCTCAAACACTTTATTTTATTTGGGGGGGTTTTCGTTAAGCATTTATGGCCACGATTCTGTTTACGTTATTTCCGTTAATCCGTGAATCTTATATTGTAGTGATCATCTTTCTTTCATTCTCCTCACATGTTTTTATTCTTCTTCTCCCCCCCCCCCCTCCCCCTCCTCTCTCTCTCTCTCTCTCTCTCTCTCTTTACATCTCCTCTCTCTCTTTTCTATTTCATCTTTCTCGGCCTTCACCTTCTTCGCCCCTCTCGCCCTCTGACTTCTCTCTCTTACCCGTCTCTCTCTTTTCTTGTTTCTCCCATCCCCCTCTCTCTCTTTGTCTCCCCTCCTCCCCCTCTCTCAGTCTATCTTTCTCTTTCTCTCTCTCACTCCATCACCAACTCCCTTTTCCAGCTCACATTTCGATTACGCAATGTCTTTGTAGTGATTAAACTCGTGTAAGCACCATTAAAAAGTACCTTAAAACTGATTATTAAAAGATAGCAACTTGAAAGATGTAGGCAAAAGTATTTTTCAATCCATATCAAGTGAATTAGGCTTTTTGATTCCCGATAGACACGGCACAGGGCATTGTAAAATCGAAATAAATGAGTAACGATGTCAATGTAATGATGGACGCGGTTTTCGCTTTATTAAACGGTTCATAAAAAAAGATCATCGTATGAAGGCATTCCAGAAAATTATCGACCGTCAACAAAACTATGCATGATATTTTCACAACATATTGTTAGGTTTATGATGGTGTCCTTTGATATTCCGATACACCATGAAATCCCGAGATTTACTTTTGTTGACACACCCTGTACAGCTCCATCTGGTCTGGGGCTTGAGATGGAAATAGATCTTCAGATCGGAAATTCCCGGGAAGGTTAACACATCACTTACATCTTGAAGAAATTTAGATTACTTCCCGCAAAAACCAAAACGGTAGACTCCGGGGGATAATAGACTTTGCATGTAATTGTGGACATGGCTTTGGGTATAAATAATCTCGATTGTTGAGTTGTATAATCCAAGGAGTTTCGTATCGATTTAGTAATTGTTTTCATATCATTTCATCTCTTCAATAGATACATTTGAAATGTTATCTTCACGATATAATGATCTTTGTTTCTTCCATGGAGATGATGATGGAATACTTGGTATATAGTTGCGCTTATTAAAGAAAGTGGTTGCTGTCATAAACTGAAAAAACAAAAGAAGTTGGAGGAGAAGAAGAAGAAGAAGAAGAAGAAGAAGAAGAAGAAGAAGAAGAAGAAGAATGAGTAGAAGAGGAGGAGGAATAAAGAAGAAGAAGAAGCAGAAGAAGAAGAAATAGAAAAAGAAGAGGAAGAAAAAGAAGAAGAAGACAAAGAAAATTTAAATGGACTTTGACAAAAGCATTTTATTTTGCAAGGTTGTAATTGCCATTATGACATTGTACATACATCCATGGGCATCTAATTCACTTTCGGTAATTTGTTAAATATGTAAATACACAATGCAACTGGTTTATATTCGTAAACAAAAGGAACTAAAGAAGAAAGAGGCCCTCAACATTCCATTTGGCAAAGGTTTTTATTCTCAAAATAATCGTTTCGGTTGTGTTTTGTCTAGCCAGGAAAAGGTGATAAAAATTAAATGAATCTAGAATGACGTCATGAATAATCAATTGCAGGGGGTGAAAAACGGTGGATGGAATATTACTATGACCCCCGCAATAATCCCCCTCTCCCCCCCCCCCCCCCCAATTCTCTTTCTCTCTCTCTCTCTCTCTCTCTCTCTCCAGATACATGTGCCAAAGCAACAAATCATAGGATTACAGTCAGTTTGGAAATACATGTAGTTTCTTTTATCCGTTTTTATCTTTTATTTCTGATACAATTCCGAATTGTCCGTGTGTTCTTTGCGTTTAATGTTTATTCTTGTGCTTACGTTCTTTTTCTTTCTGAACGACGAATTATACATGCATAACGGAGGAAAGCGATCGCCATTCATTCACGCGAAATTAGTAAGGGCGTCGCCAAATAGGGGCAGGGGTCGGCGCGGCGGTGTGCCATGCCATTCAATATTCAGTCGTCAAATTACACTTGTTCATGGCATATTCGCAAATTTTCAATCCCTGTCGGAAATTAAAATATTTAATGACCTTATTCTCATTTCAATGGAAGAATCTTTTCTGAATCCCGCTTGAAGAAGAAGAAAAGATTATCAGAGGACTTGTAAAGACCCTTTTCTACCATACTCCTCCTCCCCCCCCCCCCCCCAAAAAAAAAAAAAAAAATTAAATTGTTTTTCAAAATTTAGCTACACTGCTGGATGACAGTCGTATTTGAGAGAGTCAGAATATTCCACCTATCATCACTGGTTGTATCTGTGTCAGAATCAACGTTAATGCCTGTATGAGATCATCCATAAACCAGGATGATTATTATTAACAAACAGTGCTATCAAGCCAGATTAACGGGACGCTTTTCTTGAAGAGAATCAGAAATGATTCAGACATATTTCAAG